TCAAAGACAACAAGAAAGGCTTCTATAAGTATACAGGTGACAAAAGGAAGGCCAGAGAAAATGCAGCCCTGCTGCTGAATGGAGCAGGGAACCTAGTGACACAGAACATGGAAAAGGTTGAGGTACTGAATGCCTTCTTTGCCTCAGTCTTTACCAGGAAGACGAGCCTTCAGGAATCCCAGGTCCAAGAGATTAGTGGAAAAGTCTGGAGCAAGGAAGACTTACCCTTGGTGGACAAGATCAGGTCAGGGAATACTTAAGCAAACTAGACATATGTAAATCCATGGGCCTCGACAGGATGGCACCTACAAGTGCTGAGGGAACAGGCAGATGTCATTGTGAGGACAATATCAATAATCTTTGATTGATCCTGATAGCTGGAGGAAGTGCCTAAAGACTGGAAGAAAGCAAATGTCACTCCTATCTTCAAGAAGGATAAGCAGGAGACCCCAGGAGCCTACAGGCCACTCAGCATCATCTCCATCCCTGGGAAGGTAATGGAGCAGCTAGTTTGGGAAACTATTTCCAGGCACATGAAGAACAAGAAGGTGATCAGGAGTAGTCAGCATGGATACACCAGGGGAAATTCATGCTTGGTCAACCTGATAACCTTCTGTGATGAAATGACTGGCTTGGTAGATGAGAGGAAGTCAGTGGATATTGCTTGCCTTGACTTCGGGAAGTCTTTCAACACTGTCTCTTGTAAGATCCTCGTGGAGCAGCTGATGAATTATGGGCTGGATGAGCAGACAGTGAGGTGGACTGAAAACTGGCTGAACAGCTGGGTCTAGGGTATGGTGATCAGTGGAACAAAGTCTAGTTGGAGGCCAGTAACTGGTGGTGTACCCCAGGAGTCCATACTGCGTCCAATCCTATTCAACATCTTCATTAACTATCTGGATAGTGGGGCAGAACATACGCTCAGCAAGTTTACTGATGACACAAAACTGGGAGGAATGGCTGGTACACCAGAGGGTCATGCTGCTATCCAGAGGGAGCTTGCCAGGCTGGAGAAATGGGCCAACACAAACCTCATGTGGATCAACAAGGAGAAATGTAAAGCCCTCTACCTGCAGAGGAACAACACCATGCACCACTACATGCTGGAGGCCATACTCTTTTCAGTGGTGCCCAGTGACAGGTCAGAGGCAATGGGCACAAACTGAAACACAGGAGGCTCTGTCTGAACATCACAAAACATTTCTTTACTGTGACGGTGACTGAGCACTGTCGCTCAGAGAGGTTGTGGAGTTTCCATCCTTGGAGATACTCAAAACCCAATGGGACACGATCCTGGAAAACCTACAGTAGATGGCCCTGCTTGAGTAGAAGGTGTTACACCAGATGACCTCCAAATGTCCCTTCTAACCTCAACCATTCTGTGATTCCGTGATTCAATAACTTCAGCTGAAATGTGGTGGTGTACTACAGCACAATACATTTGGCAGTCTGAGTTATAAAAGAATAACTATGACAAATATCCAGATCTTTCTGAAGTCCTGGTGCATGCCTCAGATTCAATATGCCAAACTAACCTTTTTTTTTCTTATTTGCTATTTACTGTGACATTAGGTGTGACTGCCCTATTTTTCTTTATAAAATTATCATTATTTTTTCATGGGAAAATCCATGCATTTTGAGCTCCCATGTCTGAGATGACTTCATGAAAGTGGTTCTTATTTTTGTAAACTAAATGTCAGGGAAAAGGTGTAGAGATCCAGAAGTCAGAAGCAGTTCTGACTGCTGACCTGAGTGTATATGTACAGCACCAGCTGACTGGAAGTGAAAACTTCTATTAGAAACTTACAGTGGGCTAGAACATGAGGCAATCAACTATTACACATTACTAGTTATGGAGTTAGAGTTGTATGTAATGTGTAGAAGTTCTGAAAAGACAGTCCTACTTCATAGTTACAGTGCTAGAAATGATCAGTTACTAAGCTTGCCTAGGCATCTGATGAGCCATTCAAATATAATTCAAGCTGATGGGGTGATCAAATGTTTTGATTAAATTTCTGAATGAAAATGGTATGGAAGTTAGGAACATCACATCAAGTTGTCAGCCCCCAGAATACAAGTCATTGAATCTTCATTGCCACTTTTCCTCCTCCCATGAAATAGCATTCAGGTTCCCTACTCTTAACCATTAACTAGCTCAGTTTGGAGCAACCTGAAGTCTCGAACACTGCCTGTTGGATAAAGCAGGTGGTTTGATCAGTACGCTTGACTATACAGAACCCTGTGAGATGCTCAGGAAAATCAAGGGAACAATCAGTGACACAAGTTGGAATGTGATCAGAAAGTCACAAGAAGGTTTTCTGAAGCTAAGCCTCAAGTGGTCTAATATTTTGTTTGCTAATACTGAACACTTATGGCAGCAAGAAGCTAAGAAATAGGTGCTGTAATAGCTTAGTCAGTTATGGCTGACGAAGTCTTTACCCTCAAACTCCATTGTTACCTTTCTTGAATAAAGTTGCAGCCTTGACATCAGGTAGATAAGTTTCAAAATGTCCCATTTATCAAAATATTTTTTTGTTACAGTCTTTCTGAAACTGTCTTATACTTGTTGTTGGGGATTACTTTAAAAAAAAATATTACTTATTGCATACTCCCAAACTTTTATTGCAACCATAAAAGTTGCAATAGCTAGTGTTACAGGCAATTTGAAAAGTGAGATCAGAAATTAGGAAGGAGGAGGCATAAGTTATTGAAAGTGACATTGTACAAGAAAGAGATGGAGTTGGGGGAGAAGAAAAGCAAAGCACCATGCAAACAGGTAAAATTTATCTTGAAAGAAAAGACTGACTTCAAGGAAGAACAAAGATGTGCTAAAGAAGCACAGTCAGTGTTTCATCTCAGATGTTCTAATGTACTTAATAGAAATACCTTAACTTTTTTATTTCTTGTCCACGTCCCCAAATGTAGAATTACTTTGTTTAATTGTATTTGAGTTGTTAATTACTCCTGCAGAATTTCTGAAGTGGTGGGTGAAAGAAGAAAGATGCCCAGTAAGTCTTTCCCCACTGATTTTTGAACGGTCTGACACTACTGAAAATTCTTTCTACCCATATGTTTTGTTTAAAGCCCTTCATAAAGTAACTTTTAATAACATATCATTCAATATTTATGGGCCAACATTTAACTCACTCCACTGGAACACTCAATTTTTTTTTAAAGTATTGAAGCTAACTATTAATTTCATAATATGTTTCATTTCCTCACTACAAAGGAAAACTAAAGCTAATAAAGAAAAACAGGTAAAAATTCAAGCTATTTAAACTAAGAGAGGTAAAGATGGCTATAAGTCTGTAATTCACCAGAGGGGCTCTGGTGATTTTCCAACCTGGAAGCTTTTAACTCAAACATGGGGACCAAATTTTGGTGCTGTATGCCCTTAAGAAAACTATCTTTATATGGAATATATTAGAATATATCCAAATACAAAATATGCATAAATAATGTGTTTGGAATGTGAAAGGAAGAGAGCAAGCTATTCGTTAAAGAAATGAGAAAAAATGTTTGTTGACTGACTGGAAGGAGAGGCTGCAATTTTGATCTAGCTGTTAATGCAGATGCTTCACTTTACCAGAGCAAAGACAAACATTTGTCTTTTTTTTTTTTTGAGTTACAAATGAAAATTATTTCTATCTTTATCTATTTCTACAGCTTCTGGGTTTGTGGTTCTACTCTGTGACTATGCAGAAATCAGTTATTTCTCTCACTATTTTATTTCCTACTTATTTTCCCTCTTATCTCTCTGTAGGATACACTAATTTCCTGCCTTGTGTATTATAACTTTCTACCTTCTGCTTGGTCTTTTTCTTCCCGTGTTCTTGTTTTAGCTTTCTCTAGCAAAATGCTTTATGACTTCTTTTCAGTCTCAGGTCCTGGATTTGAATGGCTTTCCTGATACCACTGTCTATCTTCCATTCCTCTGTCCTCACAACAACTGCTTTTCCATTTATGGTGTATATGAAGCAAAAGGCCATAGTTTATTCATGACTCTTCTTTACATATATGAGCACTACTGATTACTTTCTGTGTACGAAAATAACCCCATGGAAAATTTAATAAAAATGAAATAAAATAAAATAAATCATGTTTTCAAAAAGCTCACAAATACAGTTATGGCTTTTTACCATTTGAATCCCCCTCCACAATGTCATATCATGTATTCTGTAACAAAGACTGACAAATCTTCTGAGAAGACTTTATAACGTGTTTGATTTCAGAGTACCACAAGTAATCTACCTATGCTATTACACACTAGGGTATCACTAGAAACAGCATTCTTTGTGAACTGGAAATTTGATTGAGCCCAATAGATGGATGTCCCTCAGGCACCTTCATTCAGTAAGAGGCTGGAGTGGGTTTAAATTTGTCTGAAGGTAGAAGCCTCCACAGCCCTTGAGCTATTGCACTCTCTTCATTTTCTCCATTTTTTATTCTCCCTCCTTTAAATAATCCTAGTTTGATATTAGGAGATGTCAAAGAGAGAGTGTAACAGCTCAAGAACATCACTGAAGGGTTATTATGACTTGACAAGATGCTACAAGGCAGAAGGGATAGTACATCTTCTACAATCTGTCTTTATGAACTGTTCCAATAGCAGACCTTCTCTCTGAAGCACAAAGTATTGCTTCAAGACAAGTTTTACTAGTGGGTGGCTTGAGTTGGAGATGGCCATATGTATTCCATATGGTCTTATTTATCCCGGAAGGGTCTATTGCCTGATGGCTGCAGCTGTAGAGGAATGGATTTGATGGCTTAGACAGTCCCTTTCTGTTCCTAAATTTCCAAATTCCTAATTTTTCTGTATATGGGAGAATATACTCAAAGGTTATATTAGCTGGGACAAAAAGCAATTATCTCCGGAAGTAGTTACAGGCTATATTGTGCATTTTCTTTCTTCCTTGTGATATACCCTCTTCTGTTAACCAGGCTAGGCATGGGGTGAAATGCTCACCCCAAGGGTTAAACTGTTACCTCTAACGTCTCACCTGGCCGATGTGCCTTTGGAACTGCCATGTTCATCACTCGCCCTCCATCCTGAGGCTTGGGGGGGGATGCGGTAAACCTGCAAATCCCCGACTCTGACGGCGTGCTTGAGGTCAGACTGTCTGTGTAGTCATTAGTCCCTGCTGTGAGCTGCTCCGATGATGTGTCTGATATGAAGCATTCTGTAATGGTGAACTTGGCATGTCTCAGCTGCTCTTCCATTTTTGCATGCTCATATGCTCTCGCTAGCTCTTCGTATGTTGAGGAGGCACTTTCTGTGGAGACCATGCTGCTTCTTGCTCGATCTAAACATCAGAAACAAAAATATTGGGAGAAAGAAAACATCTGCACAATACTTTTTGGAAGAAAAAAATATAAACATTATAGTATTTCTTAATAAAATGTAGAGCCCTTGAAATTACCAAGGCGATTTAAATGACTCTGCTTCACTATAAATGTCTGCACAATTTTTAGTTTAGTCAGTTACTTGGTAACTACAGATCATCTAAAGTGAATTCTTATTCTGCTAGCAGCATTATGTGGCTTAGCATTAAATTAATGATTTAGAAGAAATAACCTTTAACACATGAAAAAGTTACTTTTTTTTTTTTCAAAAACCTAATTTCTCTAAAAGTTAAATGCCTTAAAAATATTAGAAATCCACAAAACATTTAGCAAAATGAGGAACAGCTTCTTTACATTATCTTTTAAATGCATCGCAGAAATATTTCTTTGAGGTGATGTCTAGGTGAGAAAGGATAGTCTTTCTGTATCTGTTTCAATCTTAAATGGCTTTTTTGAGGAAGCCCTGAGGATAAAGGTCAAATACAAAGGCAGTGTCTCTCAGACATTGTCTCTGACTGTCTGAGGCACCAGGTAAAATACTAACTCATTTCATATGGAACAAAGGTCTTCAGAAAGCAATACCATTTGGTAGCTACCAGCCTGTAGTCATTCAGGTACGTTTTTCAATGCTGCTGATGCTAATGGGGGCTTTGTATTTGACACACAGGTTATTATGACCTAAAAGTTGTTCTTTTCTGCTGATGAGTTTCTCACAATATCAATATATCTTAAACAAGCACTATTATTGAAGATGTAAATGACTACTGATACATTAAAAAGCATTCTGGAAATGCATCGCTCGTTCCTTTGGGGACAAATCACTGGTCTGTTGCAGCCATCACACTTCTACTTCAGTGGGCTGGAAGAGCAGAGGACTTTCAGAAGTTCCTTGGGCAGAAGTCATGTTTCATCACAAGATCTGTACAATTTCAGGCATTGGTGATGTTCAATAAAACAGGCACAATGTAATAGCTAATTCATAAAAATGGGGCTCCTATAGCAGCCAGGGGCAACTGTTGTTATTGCAAATCTTTATCTTTTTTATTGTGCTATGATCTTTGCATTAGTTTTCATTGTGCACAAAGAACAATACTCCTGTCACTTGTAAATAGGACCACACATTATTTAAAATGACAAGTACTTCTACAGTATGCTGTAACGCTTAAGATTTTGAGCTGGCCAGAACTTAAACAAGGCTTTTTTTTTTTTTTTTTCTCCCCACAGGAAACATCATTCTGTTTTTCACATTTGATATGTAAAGAAGACCAAAATAATGTTTAGCCGAATTTCTGATCAACTGGAAACTCCTGGAAGGCTGCAGTTGCCCAGTGCCACAGAGCAGTGTCTGTAAATATGATGGTCATTCAAAGGTCCTAGTTTGATCCATGAAGCTCAGGACCTGCAGCTTTCCAAATCCCATGCCCTGGGGAGACAATTCCAGGTGTTTGCACACCTACATTAGATTTGACGAAAGTTCATCCAAGTCCAAAGTGAACTTCGTGAAACCTAGATTCGTCAGAAAATTTCTAATGGCCTCTAGTTAGAACATTTGAAATTAGTCACAGCTATGAACTGCTGCAATCATTTCTCCTAAGCTTAAAAGCTACTCTTTTGTAAACCTGGAATTGTTTTGATAAGAAGTGCTAAATTCTGCCAAATATAAACTGTATCAACTAGATTCAAAAATCTCAACTTCGTATTGGAAAAGTGATCAAACGTGTATATTAGTTCAATTGATTCTTGAACACTTAATTTGGCTATATCTGTTATAATGTTTATTTGAAAATTTTAAACTTCTGAAGTACTTAGATTAAACTGCCTCGATTCTTTTCCCAGAAACCAAGTGGCATAATACAGCTAAATTTCGGCACAAGAAAACCTTTCTTGAGCATGATATAAAGCTTTCTATCCCTTACATAAACCCCTGTGTGTTCAAGGGTAGACACAGAGTAGGAAAGTAGCCATGTCAAAACATAGATTATGAAGTCTGTTTACAAAATTGCATGTAGTTTGTCTATTAAACCACATAGCAAATTGAATTCTCTGCCCTTTGCCATGTGCATTGGAAAATATCCTTGGGTGACAAAGTACTGGAACACATGCAAGTGCACCTGAAATCTAGAATGTCTACAAAAAGGGTTTCTGAGGTAACGATTGCTATTTATATTTGTATCTGTAGAGCTATTAGAGTTAATCCTTAAAGCCTTATGATAATTCTACCTGAAGAAATCAGGATGAAGTTTGTCAGCTGGCTAGAGGTATCTATTGAGTGTTGTTAACCTATGAAGACAACACAGGGGTTTACACGTTTAAGAGGATGAATTCAAAAAAAGATGAGAACTCCAACCTATAAGGAGGCAAGGGAAGTCAGATGCTTGTTCTTATAGAGAGAACAAAACCAGTCATACTGGTTTCCATGGTGAAAGGCCAGTCACAGGTACTGCTTTGTAGCTCTAACACATAGCTTTTTCATGCGACAAACACTTTTCCCCAAAATCAGGACAGAAGGTAGGCAATTCCTTCTGAAGATGCCAGAGTAAGCCTGGATTTGCTTCTGTCAGCCACACCTTTGAATAGTATTTTACCTTTCTTTATATTTAACTTTTATTAGATTTGCTTCATGACTATTCTTCTGATTAATTATTTACTAATTTATTTGCCTTTTTTTTTTTGGTTACTTGTTCAGTGTAAGGCAGAGGAGAAAGCTTTTTTTTTCAGTTACAATTGCATTTATAATGTGAAAACATCAAGAAGAGCTGAAGACTGCAGGCAGAATATGTATTCAGTGTCTTCCCACTTATCATCTAGAGGAATAAAACCTATGCTGTTTCTCAGGAAAATCAGAGCTAGCTGCTGCAGTATTCAGTGATATGAATGGATTTTGACTTGGATTCTAATTCCAGATTTTTTCCCTCTCATTTTTTCTGCTTAGAATAAACCCTATGAACATATTACATGAATGTGAAAAGGAAAATACAAACCTCAGTATAGCTCAAACCTTAAAACCGTTCCAGCTATGGTTCAGACATATTCTTGGTTGCTTATACTGCCCCTTCCTGGACAGTGCCATTTCATGCAGCAAATTATCCTACTTTTTCCTTCAGATACAGGAAGTATAGCTCTTTGGCTGCAGTAAAAATTGCCATCATTTCTTTCAAAGGACTCCAGGTGCATGTGTGGCCCAAGGAACCATGGGCACAATATTTGTTATCATTAGCACTATATGCATTTGTGGCATCCCTTATAAATACCTTAGAGAAAAACACCCTAGCAAGGAAAAAACAATGACATCTAAGCACCAAATGAAGGACACCAAGGACCAAGAAGGTTACCGCAGCTACTGCCGTCCCATTTCACAACGCAGCCCTGCAGAGAGCCCTGTACCTGTGTCCTGTGAGGGGCTGACGCTGTAGCTGTCACTTTCCTTGTCCACCGATCCTGCTGGCCTGGGTGTGGGCAGCCTCCAGTCTGTGGTGAGGGTATGAGCTGATATGGTGGGGTGAGGTCTGTTGAGGGTCCACTGACTAGCATAGCGGTTGCGAGCAGTGGGTCCAGTTTTTGCACTCCTCCTTGTGGTAGGATCTGTGATGGATAATAGAGAGGGTCTTTGCCACTAGGCTCTTGAATTGATAAGGAAGCAAGCCCTTTCAGAAGGGGAGGGCCACTGAAATCATGTTGGTTAAAAAAATGCACAAAAAAGTCTTTGTGGGAAAAAAAATCAGCAGTGAAAGTGCTGTTCATTACCAAACTGCTAACACTTTTCTGAAATATGCTCTGTCTAATGAAACCATACATTTTAAAAAGGATGCAACTAAAGAGTTGAGAGCCTCACCAATCTCCCACTGACACATTCTTTATCCCTTTACTCCAACATAAGCAGTTCTCCAGTACCAAAACTATTTTGCAAATTGAAAAAGCAGGAAGCAAGTAGATGTGGTTGGGGATTTCACACCACATCTCAAGCAAAGGCTAAGGTAAATTATCAGGGTAGATGTGCCTTCAGGAACCTACACCAGGTACCTATCCTCAGTTTGTAAAAACATGTGCTCAGAAATGTGGTGATATAATTTCCTATTCTTCTCATTTTAGTAATACTTTTACTATATTACAGTATTATCAACTATGGTTTCCCTATTTTTTTAACAAGCAGCCAAGACATTATACATAACCTGTAATAGTGCCATCAGTGTTTCACTAGGAATAGCTTCATAAAGATTTGACCATTTTAAAAAAATAGTAAATAAATACAATATCTTAAACTTCAAAAATCATCTGCTACTTGTTTAAAGTCAGCAATGTTTTATTTTTGTTATCCTAGAGATAATACTGTGACCAATGGAGTAAAAGCGAATTAGCTGCCAAAACTGAAACTGACCTCCTTAATTTTATTAATAAATAGTCCTGTAAAAGTGAGGCTTCTACTCCCTAACAAAGCCAGTGGAATAGCAAAATCATTAAGTGACAAACAGAAAGTGTCTAAATCAGCACTGAAGGATTTCTCTTCGAAGCTTCTGAAAGGATATTCCTAACAATAGAGAGAAAGGGTATTAGAAATGAAAAATTCAAGCCTATTTAAATGTTCTTTGATATTCAAATGGTGAAGTTGTCAGTCTTTGAGGTAAGAGACTTTAGCAGAAGCAATTTAAAGAAAAAACAATACCCAGAAAATGACTCTCAGCATTGCTTCTGCCTAAGCATTCTCAGTAAGAATTTGTATTCTGCTGCTTAAAATAAACAAGGTATTTATTTACAAATACCAGCTATGGTCTGATCCTTCTCTTATTTCACATCTTCCTACTACAGCAGTGGAAAAATATGAACCTGGTGCCATTGAGAATTGATCCTTCTGGTAGTGCAACACATAGCTGCCTCACATGGATAACATCCAAAACCACACTTGGCATGATGTGACCAGCCTGTCAGTGTAAACACCGCTGTGGAAAGTTGGCATATGGCTGTCGTGTAGCCAGAAGCGAACCTCGTGCCTGCTTCGAGGGAAGACATGAAGGACAAGAGGAGAGTGCTGGTGGGAAAACTCTCGGCATGGTGCTGGGGCTGCTTGGTCTGGAGAAGAGAAGGATCGGGGAGATCTCATCAACATATATAAATACCTGAAGGGAAGATGCAAAGATGCCAGGCTCTTTTTGGTGGTGCCCAGTGACAGGACCAGAGGTAGCGGGCACAAACTGAAACATGGGAGCTTCCCTCTGAACATCAGGAAACACTTCACTGTGAGGAAGGCTGAGCACTGGCACAGGTTGCCCGGAGAGGTGGTGGAATCTCCATCCTTGGAGATATTCAAAAGTCATTTGGGTATGGCCCTGGGCAACCAGCTTTAGCCAGCCTTGCTTTAAGCAGAGGAGTCGGACTAGCCAGTGCCCAGAGGTCCCTCCCAACTTCAACTGTTCCGCAGTCCCATGACTCAGTAGGATTTCATCAGCAACTTGAAGGAGATGGAAGAGCCTGCTGCCAGCATGCAGGAGGTCAGCGCTCATCCTGCTGAGAGTGTGCTGAGCAGCAGCTCTGCACTAGCTGTGCTGCGCCTGCACAAGGGACTCTGTAGCACAGATGCAGCAAGTGCCAGAGCTGCCTGTGTGATGGAAAACAGCACGCATCTGGTGCCTCGGTTGCTAAACCAGCTCTGCTGTCCTATGCTGAAACATAACTGTAGAGAGCTGAGGCGAGCAAGACAAAGGTTCACGGGGCATACTTGTTTTACAAATAAATACAAAAGAACTAGAAAACAACTTTAAAAGTGCTCTAAGGGAATACTTGCCAATCAGTGAGTGTAAGTGTGCTCAGACGGGAGGATCCATAACCTCTGAGCCACCCAGCTGGGCACTGCTCCCCTCTTCACAGAAAAAAATGTGGGTCTAGACAAAATATCATAGCCCAGCCTCTATACAAGCTATATTGGTGTCTTAAATCCAGAGAATACTGCCTAAAAGTTTTGACCTAGCCATGTGCACCACTACAATCAGATAGTTACTGCATAATAAAAGTGCTGGTGGTTTTCTGTTTCCAAAGCTGGTCTGGTCACAGATCATACTCTCACACATGAGTTAAATCCAAGTTTTATTTGAACGAAATCTCTCCCTGACTTCAGTGGAATGACGCACCTAACTGCACACAAAAAATGAATTAGGTATGGAAGGTTCTGGTGCTATAAAATGCTGCACATACAGGCATGGAATTTTGGGGCGGTGCCTCTTTCCTTATTAGAAAAGGCAGGGTTGGAAAACAATGGAGAGTCCATTGTTTACTCAGACGATCTTGATCTGCCAACATGATAAAAATTATATGATGATATTTTTGCTCTTAGTGAGCAGGATAGTCAGCATGTACATGAACTGAAAGAGCAAGACAAGAGTGGTACCAGAAAGAAGAAAAAAAATCGTATCTTGACTCTTCTAATTCAAATTCAATGACTCACCATAGATGAAAAATGGTGGTATTAATCTAGTCCTCAAGAAATAACTAACTGTATCCTAAAACTGTCAGAGTTAGAAAAGCAAGGTCAGAACCAGAAGAGCTATCATTTATAAAGACTGGGTTGGAAAAGGAGATGAAATGAAGATTTTTCAAATAATCTGCATTGTAGCAACTGAGGTTTCAGCATTTACATTCACCAAATTCACCAAGCAAACAAATTCTGGAATTGTCAGGGGACAGAAATAATCCACGATATTTTAGAAACTGCACACTGCTAGTGAACTACACTTTGGTAATATTCCTAACTCAACTATTCCTTCTATCTAGTGGGGTTTTTTTTCTATTTACATAGATATGAAACACATTCATGAGAGAAATATGAAGAATGGATTGCAGCAGTATATTAATTTATGATGGTGTTTTAAATATTATAAGAATAACTCAGCTTGAATATATCTGGAAAAAGTAATTTACCATAATAACTAAAACTGGAAATACAAGTTTTCAGAAAAGCAATAATGAGAAATGTGTTTCTTGCCTGATGGGAGATGTAAGGAGGGAAGATGCATTTTGAAATATAATAAAGATTGATCACTGAGAAAAAATATATTAGACACTAAAAGCCATTAAGCTAATTTAACCAATAAATTGTAGAAATTAAAGTCTAGCATGCACTTGGTATAATGAGAGCCAGGTATGAATTATTTCAAATTACACCTACATTTCAGATGCATATGCAATTTTTACCATATTGAATCACTAAAAGCAATTGTATAAGAAATGTTCTCTACTGACTTAAATAGATTTCTCTGAACTTTCAGATTGAAGAAAAAACCCTATGAGGATGCAAATGCAGAAGCACGGCATTAATTTTCTCATAACTTTCTTCTCTCCAGATAACACATTGTCTTATATGCTTACTTGTTCCTGGCCGGGCATCAGAAACATCAACCAGTGGTCCTGTGGCTTGTGACACAGACTGGTAATGTACTGTGTGGGTGACAGTCAGTGACTTCTGCTTAGATGTCTCTCCAAAGTCAGCGTCAGTGAGCAGAACTGTTGATCTGTCATCTGTAAGTAAAAAACCCCGTCAGATAATGCATAAAGAATTTTGGGGTTGCCTTCATAAGATCTTTACAGCAAATCCTCAGATGTATGTTCAGCTGGGAGCCACCACTGACAGTGGTAACTTCCTCTTCTCTGCAGGACTGAAGATTGTTTTGAAGCATGTACCACAGCCTCTAGGTTTAAACTCCAAGTTCATACAAAAGTAAAGAATAAGTGTAATTTTCATGTCTTTCTTTGTGATTTCACCTTAGAGATGTGCAACTGAGACAGACTATTAAGCATCCTTCCAAAAAGCTAATTTGTGTGGAATTATTTTTGTCCTTAATCCCTTTTTCCCCATCTTTTGAACACGATCCTCTTCCCCTTCACTTTCAGAGAGCTCAGTGGAGCTTTTCAACAGCATATCCAATTTATTTCTTTTTATTAACATAATTAGTAATATCCTCAGTGAAATGACCCATGTCTTCCCAAAAGGAGGTCGTTAGGTAATGTTGCTAACTAACCCTTCACCAGTCAGCTTTTTCTCCAGAGACAGAATATTGCAGCTGGTATGGCCATGATCCAAGACTGTTCTTAGGGAGCTGCTTATTTTTAAGCACATGAGAACTGTAGTGAAGACAATGGAAATATACTTGCAGGGCAGCTAAGCATCCCTAAATCCAGGGTTCTGCTGTTCTGGGAGCTAAGGGCTAAGTCTTACCAGCTCTCTCTGCAGCAAACCTCACTACTGTAGGTTCGAAAAAGAAGCTTTGGGGAGCTTCATGTGAGTCGTATAAGTTTCTCTCAACATAGTCAGTCCAGCTGACTATGAGCTTTCCTGCAGCTGCAAAGAAAGGTGCGGGCTGAAGCCTGACCTTGGAAAGGACAGGAATAAAAAGGTGAGCACTGATCTTTACTGCTGTATGGTTCTGCTGCCTATTGCTTCCCTATGGGGTAGGATGTATTCATCAAATTTTGACACAGACCTTGATGCCTGCAGAAAGCCAGCGCTATACAGTACTTACTTTTGTTTTCAGTTGTGATCTCTGTATTGTATTTCTTCCACTCCAAAGAGGAAATCTGGTCCACTTGATCATGGAAGGTTTAACAGCAATAAATCTTACACTGACTTTGCGGTTGCAGAAAAACTATTTGCATGTTATCAGACTTTCTTTCGCATTCTTTGCAGTCCTTTTATCCATTCATAATAGTAATAAAAGCCACAAGAATTTCATCCTATGATATGCTATATAGATTTGTAACGTATTTCTATAGGAACTGGCAGCAGTGGGGCTTCCATGCATTTACTAGTTAGCAGAAGTTGATCTGCTTCTTTTAAGCATTCCTGTTTTTTGTTTTCTTTAACTTGACAAGACACCATTAAGACGAACATTCTGCACAATAACATATCTGGCATTTTTTACCCAAAGAAGGCCATAAATAGAATGAGCGTTATGAAATCAAAGTACTCTGTACCCTGGCAAAAGATGAGCTCTTATTCAGGTTGGGAATAAAGCCCCTTGGCAGTAAACTATGTCAAAGACTGCCAAAGAGCCTGCTTATTCGGAGTGCTGTGTGGAGAGCTGGCTATTACCAAGACACTGATCGCATTGCTATAGTTAAGGCACTAATAGTATTTTGACTATAACACCCTATTGCTCAGTGACTGTAACTCAAAAGTAAAAACTCTTTTTAGGATGAAGCCAAAGACTGCACACAGAGACAAACTTTGGGAAGCTCAAACCATGATTAAAAAAAATCTGTATTTCAGGTGAAGCATAGATCTTTTCAAATCTGCAGCACAAACTGTGAAACGCCTGAGATCATACACCCATGCCAGATGGAGAGCAAGTGTCACAGGGCACAGGGCTAAAGCAGCTTGTCCCTCCCCAGTAAGGGAATGGACAGGAGATGCAGAGACGTTGCTCCCAGTTTGAGGCGCTTTCCTCTCTGGCCACACCATCCCTGGGATGCTGTTACATTCTTAGCCATCATAGGCTTCTTCTACACAGATTTTGATTGAAAAAGGTTAGGAGTCTAACAAAGATCAGTCATTCTTGAGGGTCTTGACACAGTGTGTGCCCGTACAGTCACAAGATCAGGTTGTATTTTTATTTTGTTGAGATTTCAGAAAACTTGTGTTTAAATTATTTGGAAAAAGAATCCAACACCAAAAAATTCTATTTTTTACGACAGTTAGCTATGTGCCAGCCACAGGAGAAATCTTATTTTCTGTTATGTGAAACAGTTTAGATTCTAATTTTGCATAGGTACACAAAAGCTGAAAACTGATCAAAATATTGAAATATCATTTGCTCTGAACTGGTGGATACAATACACAAGTTTTAGAAGTTGGCTTTGCAAATCTTTAAATACTGATATTGTAGTTTCAGAATTTCATTTTCCTTATAAGTAATGCCAGTGATACAACTGCCTAGTCAAAGCCAAAAGAGAAATTGAAAATTATAAAAATGCCAGTCTTCATTTACTTTTTCTTCAGCCGTCTCTTTCCACCAGCTTAATTTCCCTAATGTCCTGCATTATTTTAAATACTGTACTGAGATTACTTAAAGGAGAAAGTGATCAAAAGGGGAGAAAAAAAGAAATCGGTTCCATTTTCAAATGTGGCAAATTACTTTGTAGCTCTGTTTTCTTAATGAGTGTGGTGGGGAAAAGGTGTGAGGTAAAGGAAGTCCATCTAAAGTGCCTGTTACATTAAACCAGTGAAAACAAGCCCAATGAGTTTACCAATGGTCTCCATCGTGTCCCTCTCCTCAATCAGAAGCTGTGCTCTGGGAATGTCTATGTGCATCCTCAGTGTTTGCTGCTGCTTATTAAGTGTATCTGATGTCCTGGTGTTCTTGCTAAAAACAAAAGAGAAGTGAACACATTAACATTCAGCCTAAATGAAAAGATACTTGTAAATCTCCTCATTTTAAATCTGTCCAGCTCAAACAAAAAATAATACAACCATAATCAGCAAAATTACTTATAGATGTTATTTTCCCCTGTTCAGAACAAGTGCATGGTATTAATTTATAGCATATGACAAACAGTTACATGCATGCACAGTGCTGAGGGATTTGGTCTATTCTTTATCAGCAGAAATCTCCTGAAAAGTTCAGATAGTTTTCTTCCAGTGTTGTCATATAATGACATTTGTAAAAACACTTTGCAAGATGGCCATTTTCTTTCATTCCTTATGAATATGAGCGAAGAAACACCCAGCTGATCCAACAGGTTGGTAGGAAAATGATATCTTGAGTAGTTTCCAATTATTTTTTTAACTGTTCATTATTTTTCATTAGATAAATTCCAAATATCACTGGAATTGATAAATGAAGAAGAAAATTAATAACTAGGGATTCCATTAATGAATTGCATAATATTAATACATTTTTAGTCCCATTGATGTTCCAAGACTAAAATTGCAAATCTTGTTTACATTCATGGATTATTTCTAATTGATTGATGTAATATTCTAAGAAAGAACATAAACCAATTACTCTATCATCATGCAAATTGAAACAATTTCATTTTGAAGCTGTGTACCAGAAAATGACTTCTTAAATGAGCTGTCTACTGAAAGCAAATGAAAATGGATAGTAAAACTGCGTGCTATTACAGAGTTTGCACCAAGAAACCTTCAGACTATGCTAAAAACCGAGGAACTTTTTGCCCTTTCAGATGTAATTACTCTTTGGAGGAGAGGAAGTATTTGCAAACACTTCTTCATGCAGGGATGCTCAGGAAAGTTAAGACAAATGAGCCAGTAGTGTGATCCAAGTGCTTATACTTGAAAGAGCTTTAAAATCCAAGTGGAGGCTCATTTTCTACTGTAAAATAGCTGTAGATCACTCAGTTTAATTCTCCTTTGGCAATGAATTATTGTCGTTAATGAAATCAGCAGAGGACTATTAAGCTGCTTGATGATAAGCTCCCTTCTTCCCTGAGTTTGGGCTTCTACAGAGGAGATTAATGCATGTGTGATGAGCCCACATCTTTAGACAATTTGCCTTAACTTCCTGCTGTGACGCCATGTGAGCAAGACCTAACTACTGCTGATTTGGAGGTTCTCCTAGAGTCCATTTCAGGAGAAATTTTTTTGCCATATGGTCAGTAATTCTGCTCCAAATCCATGAGTGAGATCTGCAAGGCCCACAGGGCACACATCTCTGGCTGGTTCTCACCTTCTGTTTTTCCCTGCTCTTGTGGTCCCCAGCATTAACACTGTCTATGCATCTCAAACTTTAATGTCTCTGTCTTTACCTGGGTGGTTAGGCGGTACTGTTGCCATCATGGATAGCTGAAATGCATTCAAACAGCCTACAAGTGGTGCCTCATTTAATCATGCTGGAATCAAAATATCAGGAGAGCTACTCAAGAACTGCCAGACTTTTCTCCATATATAATCAGTGGAGAATAATAGTCATAGTGTCTTATTAATTTTCATAATTAATAAATTTTCAAAGACATTTAGGATACTAAAATGCAGAGAAATTTCACACTAACATTCTTGAAGTCTCTGAAAAGTCTCTGCATGTATTAGATGGAACTCTCCTATTGATTTCCACTCAAGTTGCTGAAATGTTAGAATCAGAGACTAACATAGTATCTTGCATGTCAAATATGCTTGAATATATGCCCTTAAAAAGTCAGACTACTTTGGACTTGTCTAAGATCATAGAGCAAACCTGTGATCAAGTATGAAACTGAATTCCTGAGGTCCAATTTCAATTAGTAATCAATAATCCAACAGTTATAGGATACATGCAATCAGATACATATAGAATCTGTGCAATACAAAATTGAGTCTAATAAACGCATCACTTCACCCCTCCTCTGCTCACGAGGTATGCAGAAGACAAAGGGATCGAATTAGACATTTTCCTCAGAGAATGCAGACCCCAGAATCCCAGCAAGATCTAGAACCTCTTCTGCAGTATGAAGGCTCTGTATCCCTACTATTGCAAAGTACTTAACAGCACAGAAAGTATTGTTTGGACCACAAGGAGCAGGAGGACAGTTCCCCAGGTTTGCAGTTATATTGCTTGCCTGCCAAGAGAGAATTCTGAATCCTAGTCTTGGCTCCAGGGATAGCTTTATGCAAAATATGTGGAAGGTCCTTCAAGCCAGATCTGGAACCTAGGCATCTATATATCCAGGAAAATTCTCTACTATGCTTGAGAGTTATGCCTTCTTTTGTGTGATCTCTCTCCCCGTCCTTACTGATCTAATTAATTCTCCTGTATGCAGCAGCACAGTGACATGGAGTGTCCAAACGTAGAATAGGCAATTGGCAGTACCAAAAGGGTTGCTGCTGATTAGGACACTCTCTCTTTCTGGCTCAAGAAATTTTGAATTATTTTCTGCAGACCACAATAGCTCAACTTTCATGTTATAAAAACCTAAAATGCCAACAGCAATTAAGTGCCTCTAGGACTTTGCAGTGAGGCAAAGACTTTTAGGACTGCAATTTTGAAGTTTGATGCCCAAGTATTTTCTAACGTAGGAAAATTCAGGCATCAAAGTACTGTAACAATCGGGTGGATGAGGAATCCAATTATTAACTCTTTAAAAGGAGGAAACATAGCTACCTATATTTTCCTTAACCTACAGATACAAAATTCCCAAACTTAAACATGAGCTATGGCTATTCTTCACCTGTCAGACCTTGTAAGGATCTGTGTATGGTATAATTCATTCCTTCTATTTCAGTGACTCTCTGAGCTCCAAATTGTTAGAGACTGGGGAGCGAGTCAGTATGCATTTGCTGTAGTCTTTTACTCTACCAAGGTGTCTGCTTTTGGGTACATGGGCCTTTGGGGCAGATTGAGTACAGCTTTTATGTACAGTCTGTGGATAAATGGGCTTTTTTCCAGAGGAAGTACAATGTATAAGGTATTTTGATAGAGTGCACAGTCAAAAGAATACCACCTTTTAAATAATCTTTCTGGATCTTTAATAAAAAAATACTCGAGTGACTGTAAATATCTGTATGCACCAGCACAGGGTTAAACCTATCAAGCTAGTTATGTAAAGGGATTAAATACAATGCTCTGTAAACCCAAAGTCATTCAGGGTCCTTGGCAGAGAGTCAGGCCACCTCGTGGTTTCCTGATGTCTAAGCTGGTTGTTGTAAAAACATATGGAAAACTAAATCTTGTAAGCAATCAGCCTGACAGAGGAATATTTGGGGAGAAAAGATTTGTCACCTCAATTGCTATACTGATTCACGGTGAACTGTTACAAAGAACTTGGTTGGACTGATGCTTTCACCCAAAAGAAATATAAATGAGCTGTGATTGTACATCAGTAGGGATATTTATTTGCAAGTTTAAGGTATCAGCAACAAGTTGTGCAGCTCCAGTTAAACTGCTAATTTCTGGGGCTTATCCTGCTCCCTGGGCATTTGACTTACACAGCCAAAGCCAGTGACTTTCAAAGACTAAAGCTCCATTCTTAATCCGCTTTACACACGCTCATAAAAATCTCCTCAAAGATACACAAAGCTCTCTCCATCCCTTGCACCTTCCTACCAAGCAGGAAATCGTCTTTCCTGCTCTCTGTCCAATACTTAAACAGCAAGGCACAACCCATGGCATACCCTTTTTCTTCGTATTTGTATCATAGGAGATTTTGGTGAAACATAAAAGATATAAAATATCAGGAGCTTTGTAATATATGATTATTACTTTGGAGAGGTCTTATTATCTTTTGATTATTAACATGCTAAATCTTCAGGAACATCTAGTGATGCTGTGTAGCTGAGGTTTTGGTTGGAGGCATTTCACAGATTTATCACAAATGGCAGAGCATTTAGCCTGTAGAAAGTAGGCTCCCCAAAAGAACATCACTTTGAAAGCTCCAAGTTATAACGAGTCTGCAAATGTAGGCCTATATCCCCTACCTTCCTCTGAAGTCCTATTTGAATAGTTATTTGCCTTTGTTCACACTTTTAGAACAGAAATATAGAATATGACTATTTAATAAAAACAAGGTTATTTTTTAATAAATGAGATGGAAGAAACTGACTTGATGATCATATGTCAATGCTGGTGAAAGGAGAAGCAAAAAGAAACGGTGGCAGATGAGTTATCTAGAAAAACAGCTCTGAACTAAAGGCTGGGAAGGGACCTGACTGCTCTCTGAGTGCATGAGAGGGGAGGCCAAAAGAAATTCTTTAATTTGAAGGTTAACATTGGCAGAGGAAAAACAAAAGGGTCAAAACCAGGCACTTACGTTGGCAGTTTGATAAAGTTTTCTAAGTGTCAGAGGAGTGAGACTCTGAAATGGCCTTGGAGAGGCGGTGACAAGACTAGTGAAGCTAACCAGGGTTAAGGCAGAGGTTTACCAGTTTTGAGAGGTGTTATGTGTAGCTGTAACTGGGACTGAATATCTTCATCCAGGACTTTCATCCAGTCTGTGCCGGGTTTCTTTAGGAAACAGACTTGTTGCATATGCTAATCTATGCTGTTTTCTGTGACACTGAAAAATATCAGAGCATATCTTCCTGAAGTTGCTTAAACCTGCAGTCTGATGCTAGCAGGGGTTTCTAACTGGCAGATAGGAAGGGTATGACCTGACCTGCATGACCAGTCTTGTTAACATCAGCGGGACTATTCAGATGTACCTGCAGACTGATGGCGTAGAGCTGAGTTTACACTAAACGCATTTGTCACCATGCTTTTGGTATGTATATTCTTACAATAGCAAGTAAAGTTTATCATGGGTGAGGAAGTTGAGAGTACGGTTCATTCGGCAAAATAGCTATGACATGCTCAAATTTGTTGCATAATAATAAAAAGATTTTCTAGCAAAGCAAAACTCATTTGAATGTAAAAATAATCCCTTGGTGATTCCATTTTCAAATATATGCAGCAGTTTTAAAGTTCAGTATTTTCCCTAGACAAAACAGTAAACATTGAAGAAATGAAATTTCCATCTTTGAAAGAAACATAGTGCCAGAATTGTCATTCCATTGCAATTCAACAACCGAATTAGATTTCTGGATGCTCTGAATTAGATTTCTGGATGCTGAGCTGATGGAACAGAACTGAAAAAAAAAAGGATTTACGTACTCTTTATACTTTCGGGTATAAGAAACTAGCAATAGTGTATTGTAAAACTACAACTGTAAAGTTTAGAGATATTCACATTGAGAAGCTTACTGTATTCAATCAGATGATCTCTGAAGAGCAATTACTTTGGTACATATTATGAAAATGTTTTTCTGAATAGGAAAAATGTCCAAATGGATTTACATAGCTCCTATAATTTAATCTACTAACACAAGAGTTCTCAGTTTTTTACCATTATATTCCCTTACAGATACTGTCCACAAATTGTCTTTTTCTCCCATTTCTAACCAACAATTTGTCATAGTTCTCAACAAGCAGTCAAATGGTGTGTTTTGAAAAAGGATTTAGGAATAGAAGGTTTACTTCTCTGTTTGTCCCTATAATAATTTTTAAATATGATGCCACATTTGACAGACATTTTTCAGTTTAAAAACATTAATTCTTACCTCATAAGCATTTCAGCCAAACTCTTTGCATCTAGAAGAAAATAGAAGATGTCATCACAAATTGAATTCTATTTGATAGATGCATTATTAGGAAGTGATTTGAATCAGTCATGTGTAGGACCGCTGTTTTTTCTCAGATCAGTGGCAAGAATAAAATCATCCCTAAAAGTCCCTACTTTTGCTGAAACTGTATTTCTGTCCCAGACAGCCCTGTTTAGTTCCTCAGTAGAACTGAAGATGCTTAGAGAAGTACAAGCTACCACTGTCTTAACTAGAAAAAACTCCAGAGACTTAGAAGTGGGAACAGTTTAACAAATAACGGGGACGTCTGTTCCTTCATGCCATGGATAGCAAGTGTACAGGTAAGGAAGAAAGAAAAGGCAAGAAGACAGAAATGTTGGCATCCATCTCTGGGCAGGAGCCAAATCCAAGCTGCATGAGCTGTAGCCAACCTGCCATTTCCAAACCAAACCCGACTACATGGAGGTCTGAGTAAGGGAGATCTCCAAGGAGTCAACTTGTTTCACTGCTCTCAAATATGAACGTTTTTCCATTAGCAATAAATCAAAACTCATCTCTAAGCATGTGGAGGAAAATAATGTTATCAGTCAAAATGTATTCTCCAGAGGAAATCATGCTTGCCCAACCTGGTAGCCTTCTACAACGGCATGATTGGCTGGGTGAACAGGGGGAAAGCAGTGGATGTGGTCCACCTCGACTTCAACAATGCTTTTGACACTGTCTCCCATAACAGCCTCATAGGTAAGGTTAGAAAGTGTGGGTTAGATAAGCAGACAGTGAGGTGGATTGAGAACTGGCTGAAGGGCAGAGCTCAGAGGGTTGTGATCAGCGGCGCAGAGTCCAGCTGGAGGCCACCCAGTGGTCAGTACTGGGTCTGGTCTTGTTCAACATATTCATCAACGACCTGGATGAAGGGACAGAGTGCACCCTCAGCAAGTTTGCTGATGATACAAAACTGGGAGGAATGGCTGACACACCAGAAGACTGTGCTGCCATTCAGCGAGACCTGGACAGTCTGGAGAACTGGGGGGAGAGGAACCTGATGAGGTTCACTAAGGGCAAGAGTAGGGTCCTGCAGCTGGAGAGGAATAACCCCACACACATGCTGGGGGTTGACCTGCTGGAGAGCAGCTCTGTGGAGAAGGACCTGGGAGTCCTGGTGGACAGAAAGTTGACCATGAGCCAGCAATGTGCCCTTGTGGCCAAGAAAGCCAATGGTAGCCTGGGGTGCATTAAGAAGAGTGGCCAGCAGGTCGAGGGAGGTTGTCCTGCCCCTCTACTCTGTCCTGGTGAGGCCAAATCTGGAGTACTGTGTCCAGTTCTGGGCTCCCCAGTTTGAGAGAGAGGGAACTAGTGGAGGGACTGTCCAGCAGAGGGCTACGAATATGATTAGGGGACTGGAGCATCTCTCTTATGAGGAAAGGCTGAGAGCCCTGGGTCTCCTTAGCCTGGAGAAGACTGAGAGGGGATCTTATCAATGCTTCTAAATAAAGGGCAGTGTCAAGAGGATGGGGCCAGGCTCTTCACAGTGGTGCCCAGCGACAGGACAAGGGGCAACGGGCACAAACTGGAGCACAGGACGTTCCACCTGAACATGAGGAAAAACTTCTTTACTCTGAGGGTGACAGAGCACTGGAACAGGCTGTTCAGGGAGGTTGTGGTGTCTCCGTCCCTGGAGATATTCAAAACCCACCTGGACTTTGCAACCTGCTGTAGGTGAACCTGCTTTAGCACAGGGGTTGGACTAGATGATGTCCAGAGGTCCCTTCCAACCCCTACCATTCTGTGGTTCTGTGATTTTGTGAAAACTACTATTAAGTCTTCAGAGGACAGTCTATATACAAAACAGGAGGTTGCTTATTTCCACATGGACCAGACCTGCAAAATTAGGTGCTGTTGGAGGAGAAATATTCCTCCTGTTGTCATTGCTGCTGTTATTAGCATAAAATCCTTTGGGAACATAATTATTCTGGTACTTATCAGATCAAAAGACACAGCTGAAGTTTGGTTCACGCAGTGTTCTTCAGGTGGCTTTCTGCAAAACTTTATCAACATAATATAATAATTTGTAGTATTATTCAGCAAAAGCAGATAGCTATGCTTTGCAACCTGCCACTAAACAAAATCACTTAAAAATGCTGACTCCAGAGTCCTTAAGTATATCACACAGCAACAAAGCAGCCTTTTGTGCAACCAAGTGAAGCAAATCTGAGAAGAAAACAATTCCAAGTTCTAAGTCTTCAAGCAACTGTCCTATTACGTGAAACTTCAATTTTCTTCTTTTATCTGCTGCTTTTAAATCTACGAGTACCTGCCAAGACATTTACTGAATGTGTCTTTGTTTTCTTCATCTCACCTTTTTTATTCCTTAATCACCTCTTGGGTCTCCAATTTCCTTGCTTGTGATCCTATTAAAAATCCTGGGTTTAAAATTCAGAGGATGCAGGCAGAAACAAATGACCATCTTAATGCATCACTCTGGCTACATTCGTATTCGTTTTTAAAAGGAATGGGTAAAGGTGCTTTTTTATCCATTAAAAAAACCTTGACAAAACCCCTTCCATCCACTTTCTACATTCTGTTTCTCTGACACTGTGTCAGCTTGTCTGTCTTGAGCTTTATTCCTCACCTACTACTGGAGAAGCCAAAATTGTGTGCTTCCTCTAGGTCTGTTTGCTCCACTCCTTTATTTTTAACCTTCCCATAACCTTTTTGAGCACAAAGCATGGCAGATTCCTAGTGGAAGGAAGGACTCTTCATTTGACATGTCCCGTCTAATCCAAACAGTGCTCCATTTAGGCACTCAGACTTTCTATTTTTCTATTTTTTAAAGCCATGTTTTTTTCAGCAAACTTTATGATGCTTCTTATTATTCTAGCAGCACTAGGATCATGGGGGGACTATGCACACCCTGTCTCTCTGGCACACATAATAAGGGTGATTTATTTCGTAAATATTGTTTTAATTCAGCTAGCAGCTTTTGTGAAGCAATTGCTACCTCCTTAAATGAAGACTATGGATACTTGTGCAAGTAATTCACAGCTCAAGAATAGCTGAAGGGGCAAAGTTGAAGGTTACTTGGCCCAATATCATTCAATTTGCTTTTTAGATTTGTCTACCACGATTAAATGACAAATCACTTCCCTCACGTGTTCTCAGCTGTGTTCCGTGCTGCATCTGGAAAAAATGTTACATTCTCACCATTAAATGAATGTGGCACATACTCAAATGCTCATTAACATATATGCATTCTTGGTCAAAGGGATGCAAAGGAGATTGTGCATCCTCAAGCAAAAATAGCACGAGGCATCATGCAAGATCATATTACAAGTCAAAATGAATGAGGATGTACTGCAGGAAAAAAAGTAACTTCATCAGCAGGGTTTAAATGTACTAATTATTCAAGGAGATTGTTAATATGGTGGGCAGCATTACTGCTGTTAATGAGGGCTGTACTGGGCACACAGACTAATGTAGGACTGAACCAAAATAAACATCCCAAGAAGATAAGCGATCTTATATATCTCTCAAAGTAAAACCCAGAAGCCTAAAAGCAACTGTATGATAACATTGTGTCCAGAACATCAGCTACAGGAGAAATGACAGTTTCACAAACCAATGGGTATAGACTACAGATTTTAATGTGTATTTCCTACATTACTCTTTTGATCAACAAATTGTGAATACTTCATAAAGTGAGTCGGTACTCCTGCCAGTGCCCTATGTCCCAGCTTCCTGGTGGGGAAAACAGGGTTCAGGGAGGCCATCAATGACAGAGTGCAGGGGGTGATCTTCCACTCCAGCCAAGGATCACCTCACGCCTTAGTGAAAAAGACAAAACTGCTCCTCACTGCGGGTTTGACACATGACTGTGCCAACAGGCACTGACCCAGCGACAGCCCTCACTTCCATTTGCTGGGGCAGCCGCCTTTAAAATTCTTGACACATTTGCCTTGCCCCCTGGGAAATCAGGGGCCATGATATAGGTCTAAATTGCATGCTGCCACTTCTGAACTATCATGCTGTGCTGATACTTTCTGCTTGGATTAAGGTGAGTTGGATGTAGAACAAAGGGAAAACTATTGCGGTAGTAGTGGAGCTAGGTTAATAGTAAGGAGAAAGAGTGGCAAGTCTTCAGGTTTCTCTGTTATAATATATGCTGACCTACCAAATGGTTGCATGAACTCCAGCAGTCAATTGACCTTCTTGTGACCTGAAATGTGGAACTACTAAACTGGGCAAAAATCAGGGCTTTGCTGAAAACTAGACTTCCTTTCTAAACAGAGTACTCCTGGAGAAATAAATCATTCTGGGCACGACACAGGAGGAAGACAAAGTTGATCTGTGCCTACATGCTAAAACAAGGAGTAAAAGGATTCAGAATGGAGAGATTGCTGTTCCTTTGCTACACTTACCCCACAGAAACTGAAACCGCAAACCCATTGTCTATAAGCACAGATACAAACGTTTTCATGCAAAATGTACTGTAAATAAATCTGTAATTCCCACTCCTCTTTGTCAAGCAGGTTCAAAGAAAACACATCTCCTGGAGTCACACAAGCAAGAATTACATCTGTAACTTGCATAAATTCTTTATAGAAGGTCCCACTGTGGAAACTATTATTTCTAATATAGACTAGAAAGTTGATGGTGGAATCATGATTCAGGAAAAGTGAGTACTGTGCCTCAAAGAAACTCCACCAGGTGATACATATCAAGCGATAATGACAGCATTTCAGTTTCAAAACTAATTCAGATGGAAGTTGAACACCACTACTACTACAGCAAAACCTTTTTTTAGTTAGGAAATCAGAAGAACTTGCACACAGGATTTTTTAAGAGAACTTACTAAGGAGTATTGCTCTGGAACAGCAATACTGATTGTCTGTAAGACTTTCAGAACATGAAGTAACCTCCAGAAGAGCAGAAAATGGCTAACACAGGATCAGTCTTCAAAAAGAATGAACAAAATAATCTGAATTGCTGAAGTCCTATCAATCTGATCTTGGCAATGAGCAAAATGACAAAAAAATGGAATGAAGCTTGATGAAATGAATTAAAGGAGATGGAATAATTGAAGCCAAGCAATATATAGACTTGTGGTCAGTCAGCCATGTCAAACAGAGTTCATTTTTTTTAAAAATGAGATTAAAATTTGCTGAGAATTGATGACATTGAAAAAACTCTCACTGTGATACAATTTAGATTGGACATTAGGAAGAATTTCTTCACCGAAAGGGTTGTCAAGCACTGGAACAGAATGCCCAGGGAAGTGGTTGAGTCACCATCCCTGGAGGTATTTAAAAGACATGTAAGTGTGGCACTGAGGCACATGGTTTAGCGGTGGACTTGGCAGTGGTAGGTTAAGAGTTGGACTTGATGATCCTAAAGGTCTTTTTCCAACCTAAAAGATTCTGTGATTCTATGATTCTAATTAAATAACATTAAAATATTATATTTCTCTAGAGCAAAGTTTTGGTACCTCAAAATATTTTAATAACAAAGTAGCAGGATGCAAAAAATTAACACAGCAGCAATTTTACATAGGTTTCAATATATTTGAAATACAGTTTTAAGCAGACAGTCATTGTTTAGTATTTATTTTCATCATGAACTATGGGACATCACACTTTGGTACTTTTATCAGTGGTCTGGAGTAAATGAAATACTATCTGATAAAAGTTTGAAAATGACAGAAAAATTAGCTAGCTAAAATATAATGAAAAAGTCAGGTCACTAAGGCATAACAATCTGGATCATCAGGTAGGTTGGCCACAAGTTAGCAATATATCTTTATTAGTTTAAGGTCATACATCAAGAATACAAGCCATAGCTATACAATGGAGAATGTCATCCTGTTGCACTGTAGCCAGAGAATTGTCTGATGGTCTCAATGGGTAAGATGTTAAACGCATATTCTTAAAATAATGCTGTACCTAAGAAGGTGATCCTTGCAGTTATAGGCAGAAGACGATAAAAGGAAACAAGAAAGGATATTACCGCTCTGATGTGTGTATATCTGTTGCTGGAATACTATGTTAATTTCCAGCACACACAGATGAGGAAAGCTACCTAAAGATTGCAAAGGGACCAGATAAAAGCCTCAAAATTAATAAATAATGGGAAAATTACAAAGAAAAACTAAAGAACATTCATCTGTTTCATTTACCAATGAAAACATTAAGAAATTACATGGTTACCACCATGTAAAAGGAATATCCTTAGAGACTGAAAATGTAATATAAAAAAGAACTTCAGTCCTTGAATGGAAGACAGAAGTATAACAGGAACAGATGGCTGAGATATGGAGCTGTAGCTTGAGAAATTCAGATATGCGAGATGCAACTTCTACAGAGATGGTAGTTAAATACTGATGACTTTTATCAGTAAGTGCTGATGAATTCTTTGTCACTGCCTACGTTTCAAGTGAAGCTCAGATATTGTTCTGAATTCCTGTATTCTGGGAGGAAATAATTCAGAGAAATCGTATATTATGCAAAAGCCATACTGGCCAGTGATCACCAGCCTTCCTTAAGGGACTGTAACTGAAGAACCTATGAATAATTGTAAATTAACCATGAAAAAATAAATGTGTGCAGCTACCATTTCCTGGAGTCAAGGAGCTCAGAATATCCTGCTTGTTACTGGAGGGAATTCCACAGTATTTCTGAGAAGATAAGATAACACTTCCTTCACCCTAAACACACTGCTTTTTTTGGTGAAAAAAACTGCACAGAGGTAAATGACTTAAAAGGTTTCAAATGAGAAAGTTATACAAGCTAAAGCTTCATAGGGAAAAAAGATGTGCTAACAAATCTGAGAATATCTGCTTGTGTTTTTGAGCCTACTAACACCACAACACATGATAACAAACACTAACACATAATTATTTTCCTTTCTGCCATGCAAAATACTAACAAAGGATACATGAGTCAATTTTTAGAAATTTAATACCAAATGAAAAAGAAGGAATTTCTGTAGAAAACACATATGCTTTGTTGCCTCATGTCTGTTATGTATTGCAGGAGAAGGATACCAACTGGGTATTGAACAGTTTGGTCACGTGCAGCCCCACTTGTACTTTCATGTTCAGGGAGTATGCGTACGTAGAAATAAGTGCCACAGCTCTTATCTTACCTCGCAGCCTCTTCAGTCTCTGCTCCCTCCTCCGCCTCCGCACGATCAGCAGCATCACAAAAAGCAGCAAGACCCCAACCAAGATACAGGAAATGGTCACCAGCATCTTTAGCCCTTCGTTGGTTGCCAGCCCTTCCTCACTTTGCACGACTGACTTAATGAGTGGAGGGATTGTACCTGGAAACAGTGTCATGATATTAGATGTCTATTAATGACGTCAAAAGGTTGAGTTCTCAGGGAATATGGCACGTTGTATGCTTCAGCTGCATGCAGAACTTTAAGAAGGATTTGTCATGTTCAGGGCGGATGCTATGTTTGCATGTGTAATGGCTATGCACACGTAACCAGTCACACTGGTAACAAGGTACTGACTGCAGAGACTCATAGGTTATCAGAAATTGAGAAGTGCATTCATATACAGTCAAATACTATGATTAATGTTAATTCTTATTAAATCATTATAAAGCTGTAAGAGATCTCATAATTACTACCTATGTATATTACCCCTTACTATGGGAAATTAGCAGTGCCGCGACATATTCATACTTTCTGCTGGGCTTTTCTTTGTAAGCAGTGTATTTGACAAAGTTCATTTTGTGCTACATACATCAGATGAATCCTTTGCACAGAAACATTCTTATATCACATCTTAGGGGTGCAGCAGTGATACTGATCCGAAATGCAGATAGCCAACCTGATGCTAATTTGCTAAAGAGTGTCTGACATTATACTCATCAGTAAAACAGGACAGTAACACTGGATAGAAACAATCAGATTCTGAGAGTGAAATGAGGGAAACGAATCTACAAAATACTGGCATTGGTAGGCAGCTCACTCTTTCATTTCGAGACATATTTGCATTTTGAATATACCTGGCTTCCTGGTGATATATAATACTTGAATTTTTCCATTCTTTTTTTTTTCTTTACTTCTAAAGGACGTGAGAAGAATGCAACACTTTCTTTGGAAGGCTGTTTAGTCATGGAAGACTTCTCACTTATTTCCTGATTACTATTAAACTGCTGAATGCAACTGCAAATGAGGCTATAAAATGCAGATTTGTTTGAAATGAGAAGAAGCAGGCAAGTATTGTGAACTGTGATGACGTTCCGTGGAAGCTATTCAATTTTAACCAGCTACTGAAACATAAAAGTGGCTACTTACTTGCTAAAAGGATAGGAGAGTGAGATAGAAAACCAGGCACATCCTTTTTTTTTTACATTTTAATTGCTGCATTGAGTGAAATAGTTACATCTCATTATGTACCATACAGTATCAGAAAAAAACCCTGTGATATGATGCAGTACAATGTGAGTGCCATAACCACAGTGAAAATGTAGACTTCTAAGTCATGTTTTTTCAGAAGAGCTATTTGAGTTGCATATAATGGAAAGAGCAGTTCCCTAAACGAATTAAGATAAACAGAAAAGCTACAACCATCCAAACCTATATCAGGTACTTCGGAAAATTTATTTTCTTACAGCTGCATTTTGAATATTTTACTACTGTGCCATTGCAGTTCCTCCCCATAATTTTCTTTCTTTTTTTGATTTTCTTTTTCTTGGAATAAACAGACAGCAGGTTTTTTTCATCTTGCCTTAACTGAAAGGCAGTTTTTGCACTACTCTAAAGGCAAAGAAAATGATTAGATGAAGAAATGGAAAGAACTTCAAGCTCCTGAAGGTAATACTGATAACTGTCTCTAAATCCTCCTAAACGCTCCTGAATACTAAAGGGCTAAATTTTGCTCTGAATTAGAGTCATACAGATCACTGACTAAGGACTGTTGGGTTCAAGATTATCTATAACTATGTCTTGCTCGCCTTAATACTTTGATGAAAATCAAAATAAGAGTGGCCTTAATTTCAGTTAAACCTTAAATTTTTAGGTAAGTGATCATAATTTTCCATACCTCTTCCAAGTAAAGTGTAAACGTCATCATGCTATATACAAGCAGTACAAGCCTATATACAAAAAAAAAAAAGCACACTGCAAATTTATATATCCCTCACATTTTCCATTTCTGGATATTCAGCAATTATATTAGAAATTACCAAAAATTAAACCTGCTATCCACTGAGAAAGCACCATTTCAACATTTGTTGTCATTCCGGGTGTTGGCTAGGAGTGGAATAGCCAAAGCTTTTCTCAGAACAAGGTCCCAGACAAATTGTGAGGGGCTGGTATTTTTCCAGGTCAATTCACCATCGCCCTTTGTTAGCCTGCTTTACTGGTGCTTCATAGAAGTTGTAATTTGAATGTCTCTGACCCCATTTTGCCCTGTCTTGCAGTCCTTCCAGCATCTCCCATTGCACCTTATGACTTTAGGACTACCTAGTGTTTTCCTGTGTCCTAACTGTTCTTCACGGTAGGAAGTCCCCTGGTGGGCTAGAATCAATTAGCATAGTTTAGAGCAGCTACCAAGCTGATCTGATTTAATGTCAGGGCTACTGAGTAGCTGATCTCTGAGTCAGGAAGCTCCTTTGCACTGCTACACACTACAGCTGCACATTGCTAAAAATATCTCTTTAAGTATTGACTGCAAATGTTCTGAAAAACAAGGGGCAGGAAGGTCATAAAATCTGTAAGCTGAAAATGGATAGCTGAAATATCCATGAACAAAGAGCAGAAAGTCGCATGTAGATCTGTCATTAACCTTTTGACCCAATTCACCATGAAGAGATGTAAGGTAAAGGATACTTAGGCATGATATTTCTCAGAAGCTCTATCACAGATAATAATCAGTTACTGCAGTCTAAATAAAATAACTGAAACACCATGTAAGTCAAGGATTTCTACAAAGTTTAAAAAGGCTTCATCTTAAGGCTGATAAAGCTCCTAAGCTTGTTCTTAGCATTTGGTATCCTAGAACTTTCATACATGTATTATCTAATCTTCAAAGTACTATCCTTGTACCTGTTTTACCCTAAGGGCAGCTGTGACACCTAGAAGCTGGAACGGACCAATCTCACATCACGAGACAAATCCCTGGTAGAGATAGGGTTAGCACTCAAAAGTGGAGCTGGCCAAGAAGTTTCCACTGGCGTGCATTCTGTAAATGAAAACTTCACTCTCTATGAAAGCAAAAATTTCTGTATGAAGCATTGATAGAAAATGTTGATTTCTAATCAGACACTATTTTCCAACTCTGAAATGCCTTAAGCCTATGCAACTTACCTAGGAAGAAATGAATGGGGAGATGGAACTCTGAAGGAACAACTTTCGCTTTAGAAGCATTGAAAGAGTTCTCCTATATGAAATCTCTTATGTGGGAACAGACTATCTTAATAGACTATCTTAATTTTCAATAATTATAATGAATATGATGATGATGATAATAATAATAAGTTGATTATCATTTTAGTTCTACATCAAATGTAACTAATCCAGAAAATTTGAAAAATCAAATTTGCTTTTCCATCCGTGTTTTCCTCTCTAAACCTTGTGGTCAGTATTTGAGATCATGATGCCTCTCTAAGGCGCAATATAGTCCTGGCAAAACATGCTTGACGAACAAAACCTTCAATGCAGAAGCAGTGGCCCAGGAAATTTAATGCTACAAATGTTTTTATTGTTTCATTTTCTCACTTTTAAAGATGCCATACAGCAACACACAAAATCAAACAGCATGTATGTCACAGTATGTGAAACCAAGGTAAGTATCATCACCTAATCAAAAAGCAGAGTCTGACTACCTTTCAAATCAGGTTATTGTAAGAATACATTCGATTTCACTGCTATCAGTGGGAATTTAAGGCTCTGGACCTGCATTTTCATATAATCTCATTTTAAGGTATGGCTTAAGACTGTTTGCCCCAGTCATCTATATGTAACAGTAACTGTGGATGAAAAAAACAGATCAGTGAAAGTTGGATGCTGCCTGTAGAAAGATACTGGAAAGAAAAGAGGATGAGTAAAGTAAAGTGGCAAGAAACTAACTCACAATACTTGAAAGAGTTATTATTGACAACATCTATACTGCTCAGTAAAACAGGTCCTAAGTGTACCTGACAAGACCTGTCAGCATTTGTATAATAACTACTTGGATCCTGGTTTCCTGTAGGTATCTAAAAGTGCTGACATAAAATCTTTCTCTCAATTTTTTAGGTGGTCTGAAATAATACGAGAACTATGTAGGGGCTTAACGAAATTATATTTTCTCAGAAAAACCTGAGGGGATGTGCTATTTGCAAAAGGGTGAGCCATGAGTGTATAGGTCATGAATTACTTGCAACAACCGATAAGCACCTAGCACAAAGACTGGGATAGCATTAGAAGATGTGTAAGATGCTGAGGTTTAAACCCTGCCTGATTCATGGTCCCTGTTGCTTGCTCTTCCCTGAGCCACACATGGATATTGTCCAGGAGAGTGCTGGTTTGTGTGGGACAAAGCTGTGACGAAGAGACACGTTACCAACAGAGTTATGAACAATTAGCAATTTGGTGCTGTTGCTGGACAATTGTCAGTTCTTGTCTGAATTTGCTCACTAGTCCTGTTGTCAAATTTAACAGTACAGATGTTGCCAAATGGTTGCACAATACAGTACAGTATCCCTGGCAACACAACATTTTACACCGGATGTCTCCAGAAAAACTCTGGCAATTCACACTAGAGTCATTCAAGAGATCACCATCTGGAGCCATCTGTACTGCGTTTTTGCCAGAAATACAGCCATTTCCCACTATAAAGCCAGCAGAAGCACACATGTGCCACCATCATTTTCAATAAACGTGCCAGGTTATGAGCTGGAATGACTGATACATTGGCATGTTTGCTCTTGTCCTCTTGTTCTGGCTTTTGCGGGGTGGACAGTAACCCCTGTTAGAAGGGCAGGATGCAACAATTCCTTCATCCCCTGCTGTCAGGCATGACACAGCCATCTGTCACGGCCATTAGTTTCACTCTCCCCTGTCTGTAAATAACGATAATAGTATTGCCATTGCTTTGCCCTTGGAGGAGGATGTTGTCTGGAGGCTTTCCTGGAAGACAAGCTAGTTAGCTGCTCCATTGCATCACATAATGGGTTTTGAGCTGTGTCACAAGGACATTGGATGGAATAGCGATGAGGCCAATCACCACCATGAATGGCTGCAGGAACCAATTGTATGGGAGACAAAGAATTCATGGAAGAGGCGCATGAAATACTAGCAAGTGCTTCTGTGACCACTGGAACTAATGACACCTAGTGTCCTATGGTTACATGTCTCGTGGTTGATTGACTGCTGCTGGAACTTTTCCTCATTGAGGACAAATAAACAATTCCTCTTTTCTGCCTGGCAGGCTATTGCCATGAAATCAATGGGCATTTTACGTGTTTGAGACTGTTGCCCCTCTGTCAGCATGGCTAGCAGATTCGAAAAGGGGTTTTATGGGAGAAAAAAAGAAAGACAGGCAAAAAAATGACATAAGAATCTAGAGTAAAAACATGTAAATAAAAAGATGTACTTACTGCCATCATAATTGAGTGTTGCAAATTTGGCTTGTTTCTCTGCACAGCCAGCACTGTTGCACACTCTCATTTGCAGTTCATACCAGGTTGCCTCCTGGAGGTCATACAGTATATAGGACTTTGACAGGGATGTCCGCTGAGCAGTTGTCCAGACTGTTGTCCCGAAAGGCCGGTACTCCAAGGTGAAGGAGGTGATGGGGCAGCCACCATCATTCCAGCCTATCAGGTTCAACCTCACCCTCGTGGTGTTGATACTAGCAAAGAGCTCTTGTTCCTTTGAAAACTGTGGCTCTAGAAGCAATGATATAATTCAAGTGAAATGTTTAAGCATTACAGACATAAATATAATAAATATATAAAAATATATTTTATATAAAAATAAATACAAATACTAAGACAAATCTATTTCATAAATAAAATATAAAATTAAGATAATAATTTCTAGGACAATCTTAACTTCATCTTAAATTCAGGATCTATATATTCAACTTCTTTTCCCCCTGCTTCTTAAATGTTTTTTTCACACTTTGTGCCAGACTCACAAACCTAGATTTTCAAATCCATATGTGAAAAAAATATCCATAGATCTCTTCACAGACCTGACTTGCCAGTTTACATGGACTGGCACGACTCAACTTGTAAAACTACTGCAGACACTTCATATCAGTAAATGCCCCTGCTCACTGCTATGCAAAAAAAAGGTCCAGAACACCATGTAGAAATACTATATAAGGCAAATAACTTGAAGATTGTCCGCTGGTGCTCTAGCCTTTTGGAGTGGAATTGAACCCGTTTTTTTTGAGAGAGTACAGAGGCTTTCATTTGCAGAAAATGACAATTTTGAAGAACTTGCTGGTAAAAATCAGAATTTTTAAAATATTAGTATGTTGACATCACACATGATATATTTGAAAATAATATATGCTTTGAATTTTGTATTTCTGAGCTGATGTTTCCATTCAGAAAGGGGTTGACATTTCTTTTTACTTGTCCTGCTTTGCAATTAAATGGTGATTTCTGTTGATATATACATAACAGATTTTCTGACAGTTCTACGTAACACAGGAGTAATGACAGTAAAAATGGCACCTTAGAACTGAAACAATGACAGTGGTTGGACAAGACAGGTCATTAACAAATATTATTTATATTAAATACTGCTGTAGTATTCTTAAAAGTATTATTGCTAATTGCTTAGCAGAAACAATATTTTCACTGTTGGAAGTTACACCTAATGTGATGAAAATTATCTGTAATGTGGTATTTCATTCTATATAATAAAGTGTAACTTATGCAATGGGGGGGGTCTTTTTGCCATTCTTGTGCTTTGATGAAAGGTACTGAAATGTACGCTCTTTTCTAAATTCTACAGGAGTCTAAATGAAACTGGTGATTCCTGCCATGCGTTATGAACTTGGCTCTGTTAATATATTTGGATAGAGATACATCTGGAGCACCCACAGCAATGAGAATGATCTCAGCATTCTAAATCACACAGTACATGGTTCGGCCTGTAAATGTAACACAGGTACTTTCCAGGCCTATATATCAAGTCCCAGAGAAACTCGAAAGTTTGGGAGATCTTCTTTCTCATGAACCATTTAGATGTTATTTGAAGCATGTGTAAACCTTACATTTCATGCAATGAAAATAAGAACGCTCTACTTCTACTTCTCTAAATGTCCCTTTCTTTAAGGTCAGCAGACCATTCCCCCTGACCACCAATAATCTCAGCATGTACACTGCTGATCTGCAGTCTCCCCTGCACTTCAGCAGGTCATACCACCCACATCTACTGCATACCAGGTCTTCCCTATGCCACTGGGTGTTAAACAAAGTGCCCGCCTTGCTGTGATGCTTGAGAGATCTGCAACAGCATAGGTGTGATGAAGAGCATAGAGAAGGGCAGACATACCTATCAAAGTAAACTATTATATTATGAAACTGCTCCCAAATGAGACTATTTCTTACAACTAGTGAGGAGATGCAAAATGAGGCGATCTTTAGACCATTATGCAAAGCTACTGCACTCTGTTGACTTAGGGATAAGACTCTCTAAAGTGCCTCTTTAAGTGGGTTTGTTGCCAAATTTGCCAAATTGTCATAATTCTGACACATATTTGCCATGTGGAACTACCCTCAGCAACCGGGACCAAGGGACCAATTGCTGAGTTAGCTAAGAATACCATAAATTTTGGCTGTTTTGCCTTGCAGAGCTTTATGCAAATTTTGCCTTTGTTTTTGACCCTTATCTTGTTCAAAGGGTGTTACTTGCATGGCTTCTGCAATACCAGCTTGGAGCAGAAAGAAGACATTGTCTCCATTTCCTCTACACGTAAATATACTCCCCATCCTCCTTCAACACCCAGACAAATAAACCCCTGAATTTTTACAAGAAGAGAACAGTTTCCTCATGGCAATAGTGGTAGTTGGAATTGCTATAGCCCATGATGGTGGAGACACCCCCTTCTGAAATATCTACCAACCCATCTCAAAAAAAAATTTATTAGAGAAATAAGGATAGAATATCAGCCAGCATGTGCTTCGAGTCCAGCAGCAACAGCCTCTTCTGTTACAGCATGGACACAACTGGAAACATTTCCAAAGCCAATAATATTAAAATATCGAAGTCTGTCTTCTCATCAAACCAGGATCTACACAGAATGCAAGAGCTTTAGGTGAGCAAAGGGGGTGGAAATCAACATACCTTTTCCAAGTGTTTTGGCCTCAATGATCTCACTGATGCGTCCTGGCCCGACTCCATTCTGAGCAGTTAAAGTAAACTTGTACCAAGTGCCACATTTCAGTGTTTCTAAACGGTAGGACCTCTCACTAGGGCTAATGGGAAAACTGCCCCACTGCTCACTGTTATCTTCTGAGTACTGCAAAATATAACCTGAAGGAAAAACACAGATAGCAATGATAAACAAGATACAAACCACAAATTCTGCAGGAATATGACAAGTCATTTTAAAGACCTAATAAAACTAGAAAAATCCCATGCACATGAAGACATACAGCTCTCCCCTGACTAAAAGACACCAGGCAATACATTTTGCCTACCCTTACAACAACTTAAATACAATTTTTATGATTGCTTCAAAGGGAAAAGAAAGAGATAGACATTTCTAAATACCCTTCAATCAGCAACAAAGACCACATGATGAACCTGGACCCTCAAAAATGAATGGTTAGAGATTACATGTCTGGAAAATCAGAAAGAGTAACTGTCATAACAGCTGAGGGTATGCTGGAAAAAAGTGATTAAATCTGTGATTAAACCACTACAAAGAGAAACTGCAATTTACTGAAAGCTGTTACCACAACAATAGTGCACATTAAGTGCTGACAGCAATACAGACTGCTTTGTTTTTCTTTTTTTGTAGCCATTCATAATTATATACTAATGCTATCAACATATGAAAATTTAGTGAGAAGTTGCAATTAACCTGAGTTATATTACCTCGGATAGAACTGCCACCGTTGTCTCCAGGTATCCAGGAAATTTTTTAGGAAGATGTAGTTTTGGATACAGTGAGTCGTGGCTGGTCTGGTGGAACTAGGTGGGAAATAGTTAAAAATAGAAAATAGATTGAGATTATTAGATGTGAACTTAATCCCTTCTAACAGTCATTTATCAAATAACTGTTTTGAGTTGCAAAAAATGCAAATGATTTCTGTCAAAGTGTCTGTTTAGCTGACATCCTTGGTTAAGACAAGAGCAGACAAGCTCTCATTTTTTGTATTTAAATTTTTACACAATTTTGTCTTTCAGTTCTTAACCCTTGTTTTTCTCTGAATTTTTTGTATCTGTCCTGTCAGACCTAAATGGCATATAAGCTACACAGACACTATTTTTCATTGTGAATTTTTAGTGGCAGAAAGCAGATGCCCGCTTGCAAATGATGCCCCCCTCACTCATGTATTTGCAGGCTATTATGACAAAAGTAAAAAGTGCATAATGAGTTTCTGCTGGTGTAACTGTGAGTGCTAACTAGTTAGCATAGGTAGATCTGTGATCAGAGGCAGATCTATACCTCTTCCAGATCACACCATCTATTCACTGAGGCTTCTGTTACAAAGAAGTCACAACTCCACCAGCAAAGGCTGAACAAACTTGGAAACACTTCTGTTCTGCTGCTCCCCATAAACATTATGGCTTGAAAGCATGAAAGGGCAGAGAAGGAGCCATGTTATAACCCAACAAGTCACCCAGAGTAGGGAGAACTGGGACTGGGAACTGGGACAGGGAGTTGGGGCTGGGAACTGGGACAGTTCAGACTCAACTTAAGTAATCCCATTGTATAGTGACTGGGTCACTAGAGCTCAATGCTCAGGGGCAGAAAGTGGTAAGGTAGCCAGCTTTCTCTTCACCTTGACCAATCTATCATAAGCCAATATGAGCATATGCTAGTTATAGTCTGGGGAGGTCATCTTTGATTTCTTCCTGAATAATTTAGCTGGTCCTGTTGTACAAGTGAGGTAATCAGAACCACAGCACAAAACCAGTAAGGCCGTGGAGGATAGTGTTTGCTAAAATAGAGAAGAATGGCAGGTGAAACTTCAAAGACATAGTCAATAATTTATTAGAGCCCTGAAGGGTAAATATTTACTAACATTTCACCCAAGTGTTTTACATCTGCAATTGTAAGTTCAGAAATTGAACGGGGGGAGAAAGGGAAGTTTCTGTTTCAAATTCTTTGCACTGCTCTGGTCGTATACAGCAGCAAAGTGTCTTGTTTGTTTTATGGATTATTTTCTGAACAAGTGTTACTAGAGGTTTCCAAGCTCCTCAGAAATGTAGACAAAATTGAGATTTGCTGCCTCAAGAACAGGGGTTGAGGCATGGACTGTGTCTGTCATGGTAAGGCATCTGAGAAGCAGAAGCAAAGCTGGGACAGAAAGCCAGGAAGGAGAGACGACAGGGCAGTCACACCTCCTCCAGTCACCACCACTGCAAGTGTGGCAAGGGGGTGGTGGTGTCGGTGACTGCTGTTGGCAGGAGCTGCCATTTCCCTGCTGTAGTTACTGCTCAACAGACACCACTCCATAAGCAAGGTAGGACAGAAGTCACAAATGCTCTGTTGGTCCAGCAGTCTGCTGCCAGAGGACATCGCCTGCTTTGCCTATGTTTAAGGGGTAGCTCTACCTGCAGAGTGAAACTCCAGGAAAAGCTCCCCATTGCAGTTTATTTTCAAGTCATCAGATTGCAAAATAATGACTGCTGATATGAAGTGGAGGTTGTTGGTTTACAGCTATGGACTAATTCAAAGAGAAGTAGATTTTACTGCCCTCACAGGGCTAAGCAGTGCTGAAGGAAACAAAAAAGACAGTTTATACTCTAAAGGAAAATTCCCTATGTGAGGTGGATTTGTTCCATTATTCTGACTGACTTGGCTGGTTCCACGGAGAGAGACCTCACACACTACACACTGAAAGATTTATCGTAAAACCTTTCATCACAGCTTCACCCTACCTACAAAAGACGGTGTTCCCACATATTAAATATTGCCTTTCTCTGTCCCTTAGGGAAGTAGTTTTGATTTGCTTTTAGTTACTGCAGTTCAATAACAGCAATGATATGCAATTACGAAAGTACTTATGAAATATAAATAGAAGGTTTCCTTTTGATAGTGTTTTCTCTCCCTAATTCCTGTTGTGGTCATGCTTCAAAACATTGCAGAAGAGCATCTTTAGTCTCTGTTGGATTGTAGGTAAGTTAATATACACTATGACATTTATTTCAAGGCTTACTGGAATGGTTTACATAGAGAGAGTTGGACTGCAGTTGAAACAATCCCTTTTTGTGTTCTCATATGTTTGCACTAGAAGCTTAGATGGCATATCAAGGGATGGGAGTATGACTGACCACAGCATGGACCATATTTCCAACTCAGTTACTTGCTTCCCTCTAGTACAACAATTTGCAGTCAGTTGAAGCACTCTTAAGACCTGTTTCAGTGTAAGTGAGCAAGGAAATCTGCATAGTGGATTCTTGGTATGTGAATACACATGCTCTGCTTCACATTACTGTTGATGTATATTGCTATATTGTCATTGCTTTTATACGTATCAATATCATAATGGATACTTTATGTACATTTCAACATGCATATAAAAAGCAGCTAGTCATATGCACTAGTTGAAGGTGTGCTTATGTTTCATTTTTAAATGCTTCCTCATATTCACCAACAATAAAATCCAGCTCTTGCCTAATGAAGTTTTTATCCAAGTTCTCAGTACAGAGGCAAATTTCTGTTGAAAAGTTTTCAGAAGTTAAAGGCCTTCAGCTCTTTCTGAATTTTGCAACATTTAAATGATGCATCTAGTATTTGTAAGGAGAAGGCATAAGCTGATATTTTCGGTGAAGAATGAGAAGATAACTGAGTGCACTCAGTTGTCAATCTTACAAAAGCTTACATACAGACTTAGCTGTAAGTGCATGAATTGTTCCACCAAACCCAAAATATTTGCTATATCATAAAATGCTGATGGCTGAGTCAGAATGACCTGCATAATATTTTATTTATTAATTTGGAAGAATGACATTTGTATTAATACACATTAATACTAATATTTTACAAACACCTGCAAACTGACATAGCTATATGTTATCAGCACATAGCAGTTAATAGCTATGATAGCAACATGAGATAGATCCAAAAGTCTTACCTTGTACCTGCAAATTCAAAATTATTTCATCTGATCCCCAGTTGTTACTGGCCACACAACTGTAGTATCCAGAGTCTTCTGCTTTCACAGTACGGATGACAAAGCTGCCATTGCTGAAGATGCTTCTTCGCCCATCAATCATCACTAGACTGGGTGTCCCGTTACTACCTCACAGGAAACACAGTGCATACATTAAAGAAGTTACAATCAAAATTACTTAGAATTGGATTTTTTTTTTGAAGCAACTAAGAATGGAAAGAAAGAAAAGGTGGCAGGGAACAGGTCTGCTCTTTAATAAAGACAGCATAGGAATATTTTCAGTTGGGAAACACCTGGCATTTGCTTAAAGAATGCACAGATCCTGGCCTGAACATGAGTGAAAGTGGAAATTCACTCCATTCTTAACTAACTGCTATTTCATACAAATGCAAAAATATGAGTAAAAGGCATTTCCTGACTACAAAGTCCATCCTTATAAAATAATAGCTATTTGTATCAAAGCACAAGATGGTTTCATAGCACTGCAGTATCACTGCTTACACAGTGCTTGGATGAAAATTATTGTCCCTGTGTGTTTCCAAGCGACTCTGTCAAATTGTGGAATTAAAGATCAAAACAGAGTAATGGAAAACAAGATATGTGCAAGACATGTACACTGCACTCCACCGCAAGATTCAAAGCGTCAGACATTTTGCTTTCTCAGACTAAAACTATTTAGTGTGCCTGAAGTTAAAAAAGACTCCTAGGTTTTATGTTTTGAATGTTTTCCTTTACCCCTTCTTTGTAACTTTTCCTCCCTTTTGATACCTTCTAACCACCCCACCCAATTAGTTTTAGTTCAGGGAATTTCTGAACTCCTCGCCTACTGTGATTGTGTGCAGTCCCCGCAAAAGGTCCTTCTTCCTGACACAGTCATGCAGGATCACCCGCACTGCAATCCTTAGGATTTTGAGCAAATGGGCTTTATTTGAGCTATACGTTTAGTTGCTGGTTACCTATCCTTCATCCATTTGACTGTCGGAGCTGGGTCTCCCACAGCTTTACAAGGGAGGACAATGTCCTTCATCCAGGGGGTTGTCACCGTGCCGCTGAATGTCAAGATCCTGGCAGGAGCTGAGCAAGAGAGAGCAAGAAAGACTGAAATGGGGTGTTCATTCATACAGCCCTTGGAAGGGAAACACAGACATTCACAATTAAATGTGGAAAACTAAACCAATCTGTTTCAAGTTGTCCTTTTAGGAAATTTGTTTTAACTCATAATATCAGCCATTTATTCAAGCACAAATATTATAGTTTTAGTATCCGGAAGACAAGTGACTAAAAGAGAAATGAAGCGGAGGACTGGAAGAGCCCTCCCAGCCCTTGTGGAGAAAAAGAGCAAACCCAGTTATTGATTACCTTTACTGATTTTTATCTATTTCATAGTAGAAATTATGGATGAATATTATGTCCAACGGATACTTCTCTCCAAACTCCCATCAGGAAGTGTCCACAGTAGATAAGTATCTTACAAAAGCTAAATTATTGACACATCACTGTTACAGCAGCTACGGTATTAAGCAAAAATAAACCCTCACGTATGCACATGTTAGCACATTGTAGAGTCTATCGGAAGTCCACAAATAAGAACAAACACTTAAGTCAGCTTAATTTGTGTCAGTTCTCATAACACCTAAATATATCAACAAAAATATCATTCCTGTAGTTTAAGTTTGTAATATACAGGAACACTAGGGTTGTGTTAGAGCTTCATTGTACATTATTACTCAAGAATGACCCTTGATAGAAATAGACTTCTTGTTGGCCTCTAAATACACATTTCAAAGGCCCCCACTGAATACAGATATACAAAATACTGTATTTTTAATCCTGATCTACTTCAGTCATGGACACTGATCAGAATTTATACTTAATAATTCATTTTGCACCAATCAGAAAAACATGAAAATGAGAGCCAGCATCAAATATAACTGGCACAGTTCGTCGCAAAAAAAAATTAATGCATAAAAGAACAGGCCTTGAAGAGTTAAGGGAAATTACTTGAGTAGGCTGCAATGGGACTTGAGATATTCATAAAAAGAAAAGATTTCATAGATTATATGATCAGTTTGGACTGTGTTGCCTATGTTCTCTTCAAACATTGTTGAAGACTAAGCTTCTTGAGACATTTTTCTCTGGTCAAAATTTTAACTGAAAACACAAGAAGTAGTTGTTTAAAGATTTAGGGTAACAGATGAAGTCAAGATTAGGTAACGGGTCAGCATTACTTTCCTAACAGCCAAGCATTGACATGTCCTGTCCTGGCTAAACAGCCCCTGAAGACCCAGTCTCCCCCCTTCTGGCAGCTCTGATGGTTAGCCCCAGCAGGAGGGTGCTGCAGCATGTGCTGCCCTGAGGAGGTGGTATACCAGAATGATACAAAGACACTGGTCAGTCAGTAAGTCTCATGATACATCCTTGTTTCCCGCTGTGTCACTCCTAAGGCTAATCTTCTAGAAAAGATTTAGAGAGGCCCATACTGCCACAAGCCATGGGCTAATTAACAAAGCTAACTGAAAAAAAAAAATGCTCAGTCTACCCAGAGACATGGTGTGAAATGCTGACTCCACTGAAGTTAGTGTTAAAAGACTCATTTGTCTTCAGTGGTGCCAGGTTTTCATTGCAGAAGATGCCTAATGGTACTCATGCCATCTTTAAAAAGCAGCAGGAGATGCTGTCCGCTGTGACTATCTACAAAACACATCTGTAGACATCTGGACTGTTCCTTCTACCTGCAGCACATTCTGAGCAATGGTGGTTAGAAACTTAAATTCCTGTTCCATGCAAAATTCCCTCTGAAATATGAAGCCTGAAAACTCATTTAAAATGAACGATTAATCCTTTTCTCCCTGGCTTTCTCCCTCGTCAGTGTTTCTTGAAATATCCAGCTATTTCCAACTGCTGCCAG